AAATTATGAAAACAAACCACAAATTTCTGAGTTTTATCAGTAGTAGTAGTGGAATTTAGACACAGGCTGATTGTCAAACTAAATGTAAGAAGGCTTGCACTTATGCTACGAAGAAATATTTGATGTGCTGGCACTACTGCGTGGGATTATATGCCTTGTTATTTGAAGTCTAACCATCTGTGACGAATTCTTTGGGTACATTCAGGGAGAGCACTTTAAGTGGTTTTTTTTCGAATGCCGGATTGTAATTGTCATCAAAATTTGGATCTCATATATCATTGTGAATGGCTGATAGAAGTAATAATATAGATCACAAAACACTTATCTAAGTACCTCGTCTTAAATGAAAGGCGGTGATTGACCCTAACTCCTCACATTGCTATAATTGTTTATTTATTTGGACCATATAGTTTTGGGATGGTCCAGTCGTAATATTAGTCTCACACTTTCCACTAGCCTGACTAGAAAATAAGTACATTTTCGCACCAAAATCCGACAACCCCATAAAAATAAGGGTAAGAGAATATATATAGCTCATCTAATACATGTCAGACGATCTACTAGTTTGACCAAGCAAACAATAAATCGTTATTTTTCTCGTCCATACATCAGCAAGTTAGTAACACGGTTACATAAATTGATTCGTAAAGTTTGCATTCGCTAATTTGTACTCCACTTCTTAGTATTCAGCAATGTCAAACTGGTATCTCATTTGCCAAATCATCAATACTTCTCACATTTCCTCTACATTAGTATTTGTTTTTATAGAATGGGTCATGAATTTCGGAATCTTAAAGGGAATACGACGCAGATGATCTGTAATATTAGTAACTGGTTTCTATATGTTTACTCATATTACTGACTACACGCTACAAAAATTTTTTATCTGTAAGGTTATCTGAAGGTTTACGGCCTAATGTTCTAACTATTCATTACATTACCATTTTAAAATATAGGTAACTTACGCAAATCCGCCAACATAATTGCGACTGACGGTAAGATTATGATTGCAATCACCACCTTGCTGGATTTGGTTGGATATATTACTTTAGTGGGGCCCATTTTGTCGTCATTTAGATGGGATGATGCTGTTGACGGGTTCTCCACTTTTGTTGCCCGAGATCTGACTCGAAGTAGATCGTATGAATGGTTGTTATTGAATCATTGCTATCGAAATGCATATGTTGCGTATCCTCGTATATAATCGTCGACTTAATTCGCGTTAGTCAATAACGGGATTAAATAAGGCAAATAACAAGAATGGACTTTTGAATATATATATTTGGTATATGAAGCGAATGGAATAGAGGGAAGCGAAACGACGCGTAATGGAGATGGCGGGTAAGCCAACTCCCTTTAGTCGAGCGTTAATGAATATTTATAGCCACACAAAAATAGGCTACAGACATGTGATGAATAGGGTAAGAAATGTATACACACGCTCATATAAAAACGGTCAAGGTTGATAAGCGACAACTAGAATGAATGGATTGGACTGTCTCAAAGTTAGAATAAGATAGTGTGAGCTTAACATGTTAACCGACACTAAATTACCATCAAACCTAAATTTCCCCCGGAAAACTACTATTAAACGTCTATAATAAAGGTTAATGGATTGAAAGTAAGCACTGTTGAATATAGGTGACAAATAATTGCTATTGACTTGTTTGTGCCGAACCGGCAGTCTTGTTGAGTTGAGCTTCGTTCCCAGTAAATGAAGTATGGAGATAGAAGTAGTCACTCACTGCGAATTGTCTACTCATGAACGGTTGTGCACTCCCAGCAGTACGTTCGAAATTTCGATTTCTTTTATTTATATGAAAATAAATGTACCAATATATTTACAATGTGGTTTCAAATTTCTGGGAGCAGTGTAACTGAGATTCGAATTTACTTCACACGGTGCATCATTAATTAGTTATGTTCCAACCTCCTAATGACCTCGATTTACTTGTGCACTCAGTCAACACTTTTAAGTTGTCAAGCTTGATGGATGTAGAGCCAAACGGTGGAGTTAACGAGGTGGGATGCATTCGACTATGCGACATTTGTTTCTGTATATTTTTATTACTCCACACGTATATGTTAGCGTATGCATTTGATTACAAAATCTATTATCCTATTTGCAAAGTTAATAGACCGTGAAACGTACTGATTACCAAGACTAGATATAGTTATATTACACTAATAGATTTTGATAAATTTGAGTTTACTAATTCCTTTATTGTTACATACGCTTGACGTTTATTCTGGACCTGAAGAAAAGTAGAAGTAATGTAAACGAGTGGGGAAATTCCATTGACTGAGATAGATGGATATATGTACTATGAATATCAACCCACTACCTATTTCTAATTCCATAATAATTAGTATCTCAGCTGAGGATTTTTTTTATCAAGAAATGTAATTTCACTTATTTTTGTTGGATTTTGGTCGGAATTATGTGACGACGTTTAGACTTGTTCTATAGTACCAGGGATAAGTGGAAATGTTTCAATAAAAGAAAATGAAGACAGTTCAGCGGAGATACTTTCGACAAGGTTATCCGCTTAAACTGTTGAATGCTATTTATAGGTAATTTTACGTGTGGTAGTTTATAACGAAATTAGTAGTGAAGATGCCTCAGGTATCTGTAGTTTGATAACACTTTCACCATCAAAACCTTCTATAATTGAATCATGCCCACCCAGCGAAATCAAAAGTCAGGAGCGAGGACGTTCTAAGATATATTTTATAGGTTATCAATATATCTAGAAGCGACTGATCTAAACTGGCACTCGTGATCTGGTACGGATGCGTGACCGAACGCCTTCGGCTACATGACTCCATTAAAACTAGTATGATCAGCATCAAATGTCGAAGACTTACAGAGCTATTGATTTTAGGGATTTATTCCCCTCAGTAAGTGAAACTGATGATCAGTTGAGTGATACAACAAAAGATTAGTTACCTTGATAGTGATAAACTCATGCGTTAGTAATTCTCAATAACATGTTATTCGAGACATTGAATTTTTTGAGTTCTTTTTGATTGTTGATAGTTTAATCACTTTCATTTTAATCATATGCTTTTCTTAGCTGTACTGTTATGAAATGTAATCTAAATTGTTCCATTTCTGTATCAGACAAGTTTTTTATATCATTTGTTTTAATGGGGACATTTATATCGCTTGTCCATAATTTATCATTTACATAATATACTTGAGATATTCATTGTTTTTTAATAGTTGAGAGCATGAGTCAATTAAAGCTAGACAACCATGGGAAACCTGAAAGCGCTGGACGGCAGTTTCGTCCAATTTTGTGACACCTCAGCGACGCGCAGTGTGTCCCTCAATTTCGTGAATTAGTTTAAGTTAAACATTAACACCAGTGGATGCCGTCTTAGTGGCCTAGATGTTAAGCGCTCGCACGCGATACTGATATATCCTGAGTTCGAAACTTTCGAGGCAGGATCGTGGATTCACACTAATGAGGAGTCACAAAATAAGATCAAACGACCATCCAGTGCTTTTAGGTTTTCCATGGTGGCCTATCTTCAATTGACTCGTGATCCCAACTATTAAAATCACCATAATATCCACAAACGCTCTTCTGAGATTCATTGTTGTTAAATAGTCATAGATATAGAGATTAATTGATAATATCCTACATTATCACACATGCTAATTTTCATCTAATAGTTAAATGTTATTTTTTGATTGTGATCATGAATCGATTAATGTTAGACCACTATTGAAAAACTGGAAGCCCTTTACTCTCGTTTCACCCTATTGTGACACTCCTCAAAAATATACATTCACGATCACGGTTCGCGAGATTCGAACACAGAACCTACCGGTATTATGCATGAAATGGCTAACATCTAACAGTGTTAATATTTAACTTCAACTAGTTCACGAAATTGTGTAACCACTCACCATTTTACTGAAATTTGATACCTATCTCTACCCAACACTTATTAGCTTCAGTACTCTAGATTTTAGTTTCCACTTCTAATCACTATTTTATTTTATTTATTTTAACACATAGGTATTGGTACAAGGAGGCACCAAATACATATGCGCCACACAAATCTCAATTGATTTGTATGAGGGCTGTGATACTGTTCGGGTGCCCAAACCAAACCAGGTGGTTTTCTTAGGGTGCCGCACCCCGAGCCTTCGACCTGAACGTCTGATCCACAAGGCAGTGGATCATCGTGAGGAGATGCAGTCCCATGGTAGCCGGTGACCAACGATTGGTTCATACGCCATTTGTTCCTTCAGGATACTGGAGCCAGCCCATGTGCATCATTGGTTTGGGGTCCGGTTAAAGCGCCGGAAATTCGCTTTTCGTCCTCTCATTTTCGTAAACAACACCCCCACCACGAGAAGGCAGTGAGTAGGACTTCCCTGGCAGGGGCTATATACGCGTGGCTATGTGAGAGCATTTGGAGAGGGAGAGCGGACTCTCCCCACTCTCGGCCGTACCAGGGCATTTGGGGGCTCAATGGTCTAGTGGTTAAGTGCTTGCGCGCGAAACCAGTAGGTCCTGGGTTCGAATCTCGCAGGGGGCGAGGTCGTGGATGCGCACTGCTGACGAGTCCCATATTAGAACGAAACGGCCGTCCAGTGCTTCCATGTTTTCCATGGTGATCTAGTTTCAACTGACTCATGATCTTAATCATTGAGATATATGAGGATTAATGAAACGATCAAACTAGAGTCAGATCTCGGGCCATTAAACTGTAAACAAACCTTAATCAACTTCTAATCACTATCCATCTTTACTTATTTAGTCACTTCTCAAATATCTATAAAATCCTATTTGACTAAAGAACTAATCTTGAAGGACAAATTTACTTACTTATTCTATATGAAGTGCATATAATTATCGATTCGTTTCTAAAGGTTAACCACTTCTCAGGTAACCATAAATAAGGTCATCTATAATGATAATAAATATAAATGAACTATATATATATATATATATATGCCATATAAATAAATCATTACAAATATGTTAAATAATGATATTATCTTACGTATACAAACTATCTATTCAAATTCTACATATTCGAATGAATGGATTAAATCCTCTTATATACTATTGAATGATATTATACATTATTATAATGTCAATTACTTTACATTATATACTATTAGTATATTAGGACGTTTTCTATCTTATATAATACAAACAATTGGTACTATAGATTATATAAATATAAAATGTATTGAAACATTACATTATTTATTTACTAATCAATTTATCTCTATGAAACTTAAAACTTCATTAATTCATTTAATAGAAATTGACTTAGCAACTAATTTATTAAATAAACAATTCAATATTAATCATTATACATGGAATTGTATATGTGATTATATAATAAATTGTAATAATATTGCACCTATTATACGTATATTAATTTATGTTTGTATTAAAACAATTATTTATCCAATAGAATATAAACAATGTCTCATAAAATTAAAACATTTTATCACCATGACAACAAAATATCCATTAGATTTTTATGAATTAATCATGATATTTAAATTACTTAATGATCAATCAAAAGTATATAATTCAAGGATTACATCATTTTGTTTTAATATTATGCAATTATTATATTATAATATAAAAGATTCAGATTATTATAATGCTATGAATTATTATATTCAATCTGAAAGGGATAATAATAATAATAATAATAGCAGTAATGGGGATTTATCACAAGTTAACTTTATACCACATCATCATCATCATCATCAGTCAAATATCGGTAACTATGGCAACACATCCGATGACATATATACAGATCATGCAAATCAATTGAATGATTCCAATAATACATCACAAGTAATCATTTTAATACCAAATTATATTTATTCTTTATTATGTAATCAAAATGATTATGTCATTCAATTGAAAGGTATAAAAGCATTACAATTATTTACATGGAAAATGTATTGTCATAAAAAATCTTTCCAGTATTATCCAAATCTTCTATGTTATATTAAGAATATACGAATATTTTTAACAAATATATTAAATATTATGTATCATCAATCAATCAATATAATAGTACATCTTATTGATATTGTATTGGTAAGTAAGGATAATATATTCTTGAGGGGGGGATAGGGTGACTATAATTTATGGAAGATTATTATAACTTGTGGTTTGTAGCTTTGATTCTTTGTAATTGACACTTAAATCAGTGGGTATCACTAGGAAATCTATATGCTTATGAATTTCGTTAACGATTCCGGGCATATATAGGTCTGAACAAACACCTCACGATATAGTGAACTGTATTCCAGACAATGTTGTATAAACTATGAATTACAAACATGATAGAGTAATGATCAAGCTCAATAAACAATTAATACAGTATACTTCTATTGGTAACTAAAGAATCATACAATCCACATTCATCTACACATTTTATGTGAGAACTAATGAAAACGCCTAACTTCCAAATTGATATTGGTGGGATGGGATCTGCTTTCCTACTATTAAAACTTGTTTTATTTTTTTGATCAATCAACTTGTATTCACCCAAGGCAGTTATAAAGAGTACCCATGTGGCTGGAATACATATGGTTATATACATAGTTATATTCACTTGGTGTTGTTTTTGTTATAACTTGTAACCGCCGATTAGAGAGCAGTGAATTATCAATCGTATCAATGACGCGTAAAACACGTACGAGCAACCTGGAGTCCTGATTGGTCCTGCTTCCCACCTAGCCCAGCCAGTTAAGTCCAGAACACCGATCCGAGCCTCTGTGATATGAATCATCATATTTCAAACATACGCTGTTTATATACTAATCAAACAGACCAAAACGTACCATAAAGTGGAAAATAACATTTGTACAAGATTTGGTCAAATGTGGCTGTTGTTGTGGGAGGCAGTGACAAATAGACAGGGCATAATTCAAGAATGGTAAATTGTATAATACTGGTTCATAAATCAAAATAAAGCTTATGATAAGAGAGACATGAATATGAATAGTTTGGTTATTTAACAATTATACGATAAGAATATACGTATAGTATTGATCCATAAATGGATCCCAAATATTATCATTCAATATACTTATCGGGAACTAACAGTTTTGCTTGTATCTTCCAATTGTTATTTAGGAATGCGATCGGTCAGTCTCCTATTGAAATATATTTATCCCGTGTGGATTGTTTCAATATTGTCTTAAATTACAAACATTATAAACAAAGATGGATAATGATTAGCAGTGGCATGGGCATTTCGTTCTATAAGAGACTTGTCAGATGGATGTACCTACATCTCAGATGTAATGTTTACTCCGGGACTCAAATCCAGTACCATTCGCTTCAAACTTCATCCCATTGCATAAGCAATTGGCTATCAGAACTCAGTAGATAAGTGGATAACAAGATGGCGTTTGAAACGAACGTTACTGAGTTTATGTCTCAGAGTGATCTTCAACTCTAAGATGTAAATACATCCAGCTGACGAGTCTAAGTGGGTAACGTGATTGAGCTTAAAGCGAACGTTACTGAGTTTATGTCTCAGAGTGATCTTCAACTCTAAGATGTAAATACATCCAGCTGACGAGCTCTAAATAGGATGAAACGCGCATCTAGCATTCATCTGCTAGCCACTGTTCATCTTTGCTGATAAACTTTGTTATATACATGCTTAGTTACTACAACCCTTTTTTTCAATATATTTTCTTCTTTATAGATGCTATTACATCATCTACCTAATTATGTAATCCAATCCAATATCAAAGAGATATTTCATTTATTTAAACCAATTTTAATAAATAATTTAAAGACAATGTATTATGTAATACATCGAATGTTATTACAATTATTAAATTACTTTACAGTTGATATTATATTAGATGAATTATGGTTATATTATAATCATAGAAATTTTCGTATACGTACCAATACTATATATTGTATAACATATATATTACATAATAGAATGGAACAAAATATTGATATTATGAAAATGATTAAACGAATTGTACAATGTTTAAAAGATAAAAGTGGAGTGGTAAGTCAACTTGTTCATTTAGATATGTATATTTGATTTGTGATCTATTGATGGAGGTTGATCATGAATACAAGTGGTCTTAAGTGTTGTTAGAGGTATGAGAACGGTTATCATTTCCCGGTTGCCTATACCGTGGAAGGGTTCTGTTGGAGGTACCTGAAAAGGAAATTGAATTAGAGATGGTCACAGTGACCTGAGAGCGTGACTGCAGTGCCCAAGGGATAGCTGTTTGAGGTCGGTCACACACAACCTTTTTATGAGTAATTTTTGTGTTAGCTCCGTACTTGTTGAGACCTTAACGCCGGAGACGGATATCCGTGGGATAAGGCGAGATGTGCATTTTTAGGGTCAACCTTTTCTAACCCCACCCCTCCTTGTGGGAAGGCAGCATCGCTGTTATGCTGGTTGTCTGAAGGAAACACCTTACTTCTGTCACACCTCTATATATATGACCCCTAAATGAGTTGGAACAATCAAAGGTGAGAAGAGTCAGATCTCTTTCTCGAAATACTTACATGATATTCTTGAATCATGACTGTTGTATACGAAATTGATGGATATAGAGTATTGACCTAGGGGAGTTGGAAAACTCTGATTTCAAACCAATGGTGCACATGGGTTTCAGGATCCTGAAGGAATAAATGGCGTATGAACCAATTATTGGTGACCAGTCAGTCAGTCAGTCAGTCAGCTGCAACGTAGGACCAGGCACATATGTGCATCGGTCCAAGTTGCTTCACCTCATTCATTACCACAACAAGATGAACACCGGATACATAGAAGTAGTTAATTCATTGTGCCCAATCCTCATGCTTTACCCGGACTTGAAACCAGCGGTAGCCCTTGAAGAGCTACAAGCTTAACATACCTATTTGGTAAACAATGCCCCTAATGATGACAACTAAAAAAAAGCATAAATGTGAGACTTCGTAGAGAAGTTTTGATCATCTAGATTTTCTAGTGTTTATCATCTTAACAGATTTTAATTCTTATTCAATATATCTATGATAAGTTTGACTCATCGTATTAGTGATAGTTGTTAACATTGATAGAATATTCTCGTTGAAATCGTATTGAGATTTCTTTAACCATTCCATAATTTCGTTGGTTCCTACCATTGTAATCATTAATTTTTAATTGTCATGTTAATACTGGAGAATTGACATAATTTGTTATAATATTTAAATGATCACCGATAATATTGTAATATTAAATTATATACACGTCGTACGTCTGGTTGACGAACCCGAATGTCTTGGAACGGCCAATAGAGAGAAGAGTCAGCTCTCCCTCTCAAATTGCTCTCACATCGCCACACGTACATATCCAGGGAACTTCTATTCACTGTCTTTCCGCGGCAACAATGTTGTTTACGAAATTGAGAGGACGAAAAGTGAAGATTGTCTGATTAGTATTTAACATCATATATTAACTGTAGTTGCATAACTGTTGAGAGCGAAGAAGTATAGGATGACTGTTTTATTCAGTCATGAATATCCGGAACTTTAATCGGGTTGGTGGACACGGAGACTTCACCTAGGGGAGTCAGAAAACCCTGATTCCAAACCAATGTTACACATGGGCTTCAGTATCCTGAGCGAACAAATGGCGTATGAACCAATCCTTGTTCACCGGTTACCATGAAACTGCATCTCCTGACGTTACTCTACTGCCTTATGGATCAGACCTTTAGGTCGGAGGCTCTGGGTGTGGCTCCCTAAGAAAACCACCTGCTTCGGTATGGGCCCCGGGCAGTATCCCAGCCCTCACACAAGCTGAATGATTTATGTGGCGCATATGTATATGGTGCCTCCTTGTGCCAATGTTTATATGTTTAAATAAATAATAAATAAATAAATAGGTATCAAATCGTTATAACAGAAGCATATAGAAAATCAAATTTCTAACGACGTTAACTGAACAGAAAATAAGAAATTTTTCAATAGAGATGTTCTTTTCAGTTATATTGCGAGTCTGACAAGGCTGTCTACTCTTCCCCTTTATCCTTTTTCTGTTGGTCGACTGTATTATAAAGACCTCGACATCTGAGTGAGAACACGGAATACAATGGACAGCTGAGAATCATTTAGACGATTTGAACTCCGCAGATCACCTGGTCGTTCTATTCCATACACAAGAACAAATGCAGATGAAAACAGCTAATGTATTAGCAGCTTCAACATACACAAAGGAAAAATCAAGATCCTCAAATGCAACACGGAGAACACCAACCCATTCACACTTGCTGGGGGAGCTGTGGAACAGGTGGGAGGTTTCACATATCTGGGTAGCATCATCGACGAACAAGGAGGATCGAATACAGACGCAAAGGCGAGAGTCGGCAAACAAGGGCCTCACTCCTAAAATTGATGAACATATGGAACTCGAAACAACTACCAACTAATATCAAAGTCTGAATATTCAATACGAACGTCAAGACAGTTAGTTCCATAATACGGAGCTAAAACGTGGATAACTACGACAATCGCCGTCAAGAAGATACAAGTATTTATAAACAAATGTCTACGTTAGATACTCAACATCCACTGACTGGATACCATCAGCAACCGTCTTCTGTAGGAGAGAACAATCCAGGTTCCATTTGAAGAAAAAATTAGTAACCTCAAGATATTTTAAATTACTATATATATCGACAGTTACCACCTATTTGATAAATTCATACGGAAGTCGTTTCCATTAGGTTAATGCTAACTTTTATTAATATGATTGGAATATGGAATTATCAGCCTAAAGTATTTCAATAATTTTCTCATTTCTTATTTATTGGTTGATCCTGGCGATAAATATTGAGTGATCGCCAGTTAAATGTTAGTTAGTTACTTACTTACTTACTTATTTACGCCTGTTACTCCCAATGGAGCATAGGCCACCCACCAGCATTCTCCAACCCACTCTGTCCTGGGCCTTCTTTTCAAGTTCCATCCAATTCTTGTTCATTTTTCTCATATCTATCTCCATTTCCCGGCGTAATGTATTCTTTGGTCTTCCTCTCCTCCTTCGACCTTGAGGATTCCATATGAGGGCTTGTCTTGTGATGCAGTTCGGTGCTTTCCTCAATGTGTGTCCTATCCACTTCCAGCGCTTCTTCCTGATTTCTTCCTCCACTGGGATCTGATTTGTTCTCTCCCACAGTAGGTTGTTGCTAATAGTGTCCGGCCAACGGATCCCAAGTATTTTGCGTAGACAACTGTTAATAAACACTTGTATCTTTTGGACGATGGATTTCGTAGTTTTCCAGGTTTCCGCCCCATACAGTAGAACTGTCTTCACATTTGTATTGAAAATTCTGACTTTGGTGTTGGTTGCTAATTGTTTTGAGTCCCAGATATTCTTCAGTTGTAAATATGCTGCTCTTGCTTTGACGATCCGTGCCTTCACATCTGCATCAGATCCACCGTGTTCATCGATGATACTGCCCAAATATGTAAAGATTTTTACATCTTCCAAAGCTTCTCCGTCAATTGTGATTGGATTGGTGCATGCTGTGTTGTATCGAAGAATCTTGCTTTTCCCTTTGTGTATATTGAGACCTATTGCTGCTGAGGCTGCAGCTACACTGGTTGTCTTTTCCTGCATTTGTTGTTGCGTATGCGATAGAAGAGCCAGATCATCTGCAAAGTCTAGATCATCCAATTGCATCCTAGCTATCCACTGTATCCCGTGCTTCCCTTCAGATGTTGATGTCTTCATGATCCAGTCGATCACCAGGAGAAAGAGAAAGGGTGAGAGTAAGCAACCTTGCCTGACACCGGTCTTTACTTCGAACGACTTTGTCAACTGTCCTCCATGAACGATCTTGCAGTTTAATCCATCATAGGAATTCTGTATGATATTGACTATCTTCTGAGGCACGCCGTAGTGTCGAAGAAGCTTCCATAGGGTTGTTCTGTCCACGCTATCAAATGCTTTTTCGTAGTCGATGAAGTTGATATAGAGTGATAGTTAAATGTTAGTAGTCCAGTCAATCGACCTGTGAAACATGTTCATTCTTTTCAATTCATATTGTCAGCAATTATGATGTCTCCGAATGTACTTTTTTTGTAACTTGTACCAAAGAAGGTCCTATAGATTTTACAAATGCACCTGAATAGGTTATGTGATTCATTGACATAATGATCTATTAAAACAAACAAAAAAACAGATAACTAGTTGAAATATTTAGATGACAGGAACAAGTAGCCCAGTTATTCAAACAGGCCACCTTCAAACCTAAGTCAATTTATAATTATTAAAAAAAAAATTAATACAAACCAGTTTTAGATCTTCTCTGTTGTACCTTTGAACCCGAATAATTATCACGTGATTTATTCGTCAATCGAAGTAAGACTTATTCAGTATTAGAATTGTGCTAAACCAATGACGTTCGATCGGTATGAGCAGTCTAGCGTCTTCATTGGTCCCTTGTTCAACTAGCCTGTCTAATTGAGTCCAGAACGCCAAAAACAGCTTCCACGATGCGAATCATTTGTTTCAAATATATTGGGTTTATATACCAACCAAACAGACCATTTCACACCATAAAATAAGAAATAACATTTATACAAGATCAAGCCAAAAAGTGGCTGTGAACGTGGGAGAGTGTAATCAAGAAACTGAATAAAACTTAAGAACAGTATGCAAAGATGGACAGTATCTAGCAGATGAATCCAAGATGCGCCTTTCGTCCTATTTGGGACTCGTCAGCTGGATGTATCTACATCTTAGGGTTGAAGATCAATCTGAGACACAAACTCAGTAACATTCGTTTCAAACGCCATCTTGTTATCCACTTATCTACTGAGTTCTGATAGCCAATTGCTTATGCAATGGGATGAAGTTTGAAGCGAATGGTACTGGATTTGAGTCACGGAGTAAACATTACATCTGAGATGTAGGTACCTCCATCTGACAAGTCTCTAATAGATCGAAACGCCCATGCCACTATTAACCATTACCTATCTTTGCTTATTGTTATATCTGGTCGTCGCTGATTGTTGTGTCGGAAAAACGCTTATCACTTATACTCGAAACAACGGACCTATACAATTCCCATGACGCGAAAGTAAGAACACAAAAAGACTGGTATAAGTGAATGTCCATTAACCCCAAAACACGACGACGACAACAACGATTCTAGTAGAAGATAAACTCATTTATATATTGATTGTACACCCATTTTGATGAATAATTAGAATGAACTCACATATATATAGCGATTCATATGCTGAGTATAGTTCCTGTGAATTGAATACAACAATATCGTATATTATACAGAATAAAATATCATACCGGGGAAATAAAACTGAATACTACACTAAATGGTCATTACAATGAATTAAAACGGATGTAATGTTGAACAATACTGTGATAATGACTAAATCAATTGAATTTTGACTATTCTTTCCATCATATCAATTATAATGCTTGTAATTTAAGACAATATTGAAGCAATGCACACAGAGTAAACATATTCCAATAAAAGACTAATCAACTGTATTCCTAAACAACAATGGAAAGATACAATTAAGCACCACCAAGTGAATTAAGAACCGTAAATCATGTCATAATAATCTATTATAATCATATTATTATTATTTTAACACGTAAATATTGGTACAAAAAGGCACCAAATACATATGCGCTACACAAATCACATTTGATTTGTGTGAGGGCGGCGATAATACCCAGGCACCCAAACCGAAACAGGTGGTTTACTTAGGGGACCACACTTCGAGCCTTCGACCTAAAGGTCTGATCCACATGGCAGTGGATCATCGTGAGGAGATGCAGTCTCATGGTAGTCTGTAACCAATAATTGGTTCATACGCCATTTTTTCCCTCAATATCCTCGAACTCATGTACACCATTAGTTTGGAATCAGGGTTTTCCAACTCATCTAAGTGGACACTCCGCGTCCACCAACCCGGTTAAAACACCGGACATTTGATCTTCGTCTATTTCAGGGCATTCGGGGGCATAATAATCTATAGGACAAAATAAAGCTTATAATAAAAGGAATATAGATATACACAATTTAGTTACTGTATACAATAAGTACAATAACAATATATATGTATATAATATTATTCCATTTACACTTCTCTGAAGGTACTCGTAGTATAATCTTCACAAAGGATATAGCACACCCCATATGTAATCGAATGAATTTTTGAAGTTTATTTTATGAAGATGTTTTTTTCTTTTTTTCCAAAATGATTTAAAAAAAAAAACTACATAGCAACAAACCTTTTCTTTCAATATTGAAAAAAATTAATTTACATTTTCTATTTTCTATTTTAGGTTCAATCAGCAGCAGCTAAATGTTGCGCAACTCTTGTTACTATAAGTAATAATAATAATAATATATCAATATTATCGATTATTGAAAATTTATTACTTAATGATATGTCTATGATAGAAGTAAATTTTTTATTAGAAAAAATTAAAAAATATATCAACTTAAAAAATGATGAGGATTTAGTTGCTATGGTGAATTATGAAAATGATTTCAAACAAAATTGTATGTATTAAAGTATGTTTTTTTGGTGTTGCTTGTTGTTGTTGTTGTTGTTATTGTTATTGTTATTGTGTTTTATCTGTACAAGCGAAAATAGTTTTCATCAAAAGATTCCTTTAATTGAATTCATTTGGTATTGTTTGTTTGAATCATTTTCTCATTGATGTTTAAGATTGTTAGATACTATTCATCTTTGCTTAGAATGCTTGTGAATTAAAGCTATTTGGAGGTAATAAAAACACAATATGCATATATGTCAATAAAAAAACTGATCAATTACAGTTATAAACATCAATTGGATGATTCAAAGAAACAATAACAGGTGAATTTAATCTTCAGATTATTGCATAAATCAAGTGGCTATCGGGACTTAGTAGTTCAATGGATAACGTGTTGACGTTTGAAGTGGACGGTACTGAGTTCGAGTATCAGAGTACTTCTAGCTGACGAGTCCCAAATAGGACGAAACACTCCTTGTCCTAGATTCCACTGCTAGCCACCATCCATCTTTGCATATGATCTCCCAGATTTATTAAAGAAAGATGTAAATGTGAGGGGAAGTTGAATTTTATTAAACTTGATCAAGTTTTGTAGTTTGAGTTGAATGGTATAGTTGTGGAGTGTTTTACTGTTTTTTTGAATGATATCATCAACACAAACTTCCAGCTGAGCTATAAATTTTCGCCCTCATCTCAATTCCATTTATTTATTTGAAAACATAAATATGGGTACAAAGGGGCACAGAATATATAGAAGTCGTTTGATTTGTGTATGGACTGTGATACTGCCTGGGTGCCCAGACCGAAACATGTGGTTTACTTAGAGGGCCACTCCCTTAGCCATTAACCTAAAGATGCACTCGCATGGTAGTCGGTGATGAACGATTGGTTCATGTACCATTTTTTCCTTTAGGATACTAGAGCTCATGTGCACCATTGATTTTAAATCGGGGTTTTCTAACTCTCCATATTCACCAACCCATCTAAAGCGCCTCACATTCGATTTTCTTCCTGTCAATTACGTAAACAACAGTAATGCCACGTGAATGCAGTTAGTAGAACTATCCTGGCAGAGGCTATATACGCGTAGTCATGTGAGAACATTTCGAGTGGCAGAGCGGACTGTCGCCACTCTCGGTTGTAGCAGGGAATTTTAGGGCAAATGTGGTTTCCGCCATCTACATTAAACGGCTACAGAAACTTTATTTTTATAAACATAGTTCCCTTTTATCATTTTGAAAGGTGGAAGAACGAATATCCTAACAGAACAGCTAAAATTCATTCTATTTTGTCTATATTTCATTAGTTGCTTAGAACCTAATTACATAATGCGCTCAAATTACTTACATGAGAGGGTTTAGTTGGAAGTTATATTGAAGACATATTAGTATAGTATAACTAGGGTGTAAATAAAATGAACAGACTGAATAATGTAAATAACTCCGCCTGGAGCCCCTTTCCGGGGGCTACTACCGGTCCCAAACCCGGATAAAGGAGGAGGGTTGGGCATGGGGTTAGCGACCCCATCCTGTAGAAAACTAACTCGCTAAAAAAACGCTAACCAGAATAATGTAAATATATACCTTATGTAAAAGAACCTTCTACAACATTGATTGTGACAACAGTTCAAACGGTCAGAAGCAATTAATTACATAATGACTAAGATTACTAATTGGGAAGATAGTTGAAATAAATATCTATGACGTAATAAATATAAGAAGGAGTTAAAAAATGGTTTAAGATACAACGAAGGAATATTTGTCACCAAGTCAGGGATGATTAATATACATCTCCTTTTAAACATATATATCAGTTTATTTGATACCGATAGCAATGGCTTCAGCAAACTACAGAAGACAGGAGTTTAGCTGCTTACTAATCACATTGAAAGATTGCAAGTTATAGACATGATGTCATGTATCAGAGTGTGAAAGAACATTCTACAACAGTTCAAAGGGCTAGAAACAAACGATTTCATAATAAGTAAACATTGAACTCAATTAATAAAATAAGAGTCATTGTCTTACATAATAAATCTCTATAGTTTATCAGCATAGGATTGTAGAAATTATTAAGTTTCTGATTGAGATCATGAAGTGATTGATGGTAGACCATCATGGAAAACCTGGATGCACTGGACTGCCTTCTCGTCCTATTGTGGGATTCTTCACCAGTGCTCATTCCAGGAGTCTCACAATAGGGCGAGATGTCCGACCAGTTCTTCTAGGTTTTCCATGGTGGTCTAACATCAATCAGTTCATGCTCACAATCTATAGATTATATATAATTTATTATTTCACAAAGAGCACTCTTTGTTATACAGATAATAGAGGAAATCATCATTTGGATTGTAGAAGTGATACTATTGATAAATCCATTAGTCGAAATACTTCAGAACGATTTAATATGCCAATTAATCATTTGGATTTGAATAAAATGGATCATTTGAATGGATCATATTTTCAAATGTCTGAACGTCGTAAACGTTTGAAATCAAGTAAATCAGATAATCAAAAGTCAGTTCGAAGATACATTGATACAATGAAACTTCATGAATTTTCTGCACAGACCCAAAGTCAATTAGATCACAGAAAAGATGTGAAAGATCATCCAAACACACAAGAGATTTATGATGAACCAACAACTATTAATGCAATGCCAGATCTTCAAGATACACTAACCGGAGAAGAGATAAATTGTCCAATTAATTGGTACAATCAGGGTACTGAAAATCAGGTATTTTAAATCTTCATTATGTGATATTGAACTATACTCGCTTAAATAAACTTAAAAATCCTGACTTACTTACTTACTTACGCCTGTTACTCCCAATGGAGCATAAGCCGCAAACCAGCATTCTCTAACCCATGCTGTCATGGACCTTCCTTTCAATTTCTATACAATTGTTACTCATTCTTTTCATATCTGTCTCCATTTCTCAGCGTACTGTATCCTTTTGTCTTCCTCATTTCCTTTGGCCTTGAGGGTTTCATATGAAGGCTTACCTTTTGACACAGTTGAGTGTATTCCCTTATGTGTGTTCAATCCATTTCCAGAGGTTCTTCCTGATTTCTTCATCCGCTGGGATCTGGTTTGTTCTCACCTACAGTAGATTGTTGCTGATAGTGTTTGGCCAACGGATCCGAATTATTTTCCGTAGACAGCTATAAGTAAACACACAAACTCTGATTGAAGGCTTTCTGGGGTTACTGCCGGTCCCGAGCCCGGATAAAGGAGGGGGGTTGGGTATCGGGTTAGAGATCCCATCCCGTAGAAAACTAACTCGCTAAAAAACGCTAACCAGAAAATATAATTATTGGATCAAATCAAAACTGAATCATACTCAAATGATCTAGAGATGTTACTGTAAAAAAAGAGATCATGTATAAATCTGCATCATTAAATGAATTTTTGTTGCCATGACAATTTAAAACATTTAAATTTGCTTAAAATACAAATGTTTAGTGTTAACAATATCATTATCAAATGTACCAAAGAACATGTAACTCTTGTTTGAATTATTAACACGAATATAAGTGAAAATCAAATGTTTTTCTTTATTATCTACAGATAAGTTTTAATATCAGAAGGGGCTTTTGTGTATATAATAGTAATTTCAATAGTTGAGATCATGAATGAATTGAAGTTAGATCACTATAGAAAATTTGGAAGCACTGGATGGCCAATTTGTCCGATTTTGGGACTCCTCAGTAGTGAGCATGGACGACCTCACGTTACGAGACTAGAATCCAGGACCTATCAGTCTCGCGCGCTTAACTATAAATATTGGTACAAAATGGCATCGAACACATATGCGCCATACAAGTAACTTGATTTATGTGCAGGTTGTGATACTGCCTGAGTGCCCAAACCGAAACAGGTGACTTTCCTAGGGGACCACACCTAGAGCCTTTGAACTGAAGGTCTGATCCACAAGGCAATGGAGCAACGTAAGAAGATGCAGACCCATTTTAGCCGTTGGCGAACAGTTGTTTCATACACCAATCGTTCGTTCAGCGCTGGATACTAGCTTTTTGTCCTCTCAATTTCGTAGACAACAGTAATAGGGCTAGAAGTCATTGAGTGGGACTTGTGTGGCAGTGACTGTCTACATGTGGTCACGTGAAATGATTACGAAAGGGAAATCTGACTCTCCCTACTCTCGGCCTCACCATGGCATTTTCTCAGTCTAGTAATCACCAACTAATCTTCCCGATATACTATATCTTTTGGAAGATAAGCATTAAGTTTATTTAGACATCCTTGATAAATCTATTTCAATAAATCTATCTTTTTTCTGTTTCAGATAAATCGAGGTCTTGAGAGTTTACGTAATTCTGTATCTAGACGACGTAAACAATGGTTATTTAATCAAATGGCTAAAATAAACACTAAAAAATTGTCAGAAAGTAATCATGAGTAAGTGTTATGAAAATGAAATGCTTCCTCTATAATGAATGATACAAGGTATTATGTTGATATCCTGTAGAATGGATACTGAAAGTGTATCTAACGTAAATTAAAAGTGAAATTCGGCCCCCGAATTCCTCTGGTACAATCGAAAGTGAAGAGTGTCATCTCTCCCTCTCTAAATGCTCTCACATGGGCACGTGCATACAATCACTGACAAGAAAGTCCTACTCATTCACTGCATTTTCGTGGCATTACGGCTGTTTACGAAATTCAGAGGACAAAAAGCGTATGTCCAGCACTTTAATCGGGTTGGTGGGTATGGAAAATCCACCTAGGGGAGTTGGAAAACCTTGATTGCAAACCAGTGGTGGACATGGGCTAAAGTATCCTGAAGGAATATATGGCGTATGAACCTGTTGTCGTTGACCGGCTGTTATGGGGCTGTATCTCCTGACGTTGCTTCACTGCATTGTGGATTATACCTTCAAGTCAAAGGCTATGGGTGTGGTCCCGGGCAGTATAATATCCCTCACACAAATCGAATGGTTTATGTGGCGCATATATATTTGGTGCCTTCTTGTACCAATGTTTATGTGTTTAAATAAATGGATATTATAACAGTTTTTTAAATAAATACTTTCCGTAGATGGTGGTTGGAGGTAGACAACATGAATCTCTGGACCCGGATTTCGTGCTACTTGGCGCTCGTCAGCCAGGTGTACCTGTAATCTTGTGGGAACTGGTGCCACATCGCAACTTGGTCGGCAGCTTTCGATCTGCACTAAAAAAGGACTTGACACACATGACATTAATCACCACCCAGTTATCAACCAACTGTGAATACATCTCCCTCCTACCGCAGGTCGGTCGCGGCCCGGATAGTTCAGTGGTATTGTCTCTGACTTTGAAGTTGAGTGACACGGGATCGAATCCGTCAAGTAGCATCTGTTCCACAAAGATTACAGGTATACCATGCTGAAGAGTGCCAAGTAGCACGAAACCCGTGTCTAGAGTTTCCTGTCGACTACTTCCAACCACCATCTAATCTCAACATAGTGCACGAAATTCCGAGTTACCTAGACTGGTGAACACATTGCAGCATGGTCGATAGCACTCGATCTGCACTAAGAAGAACTAGACACACATGACATTGATCACCATCCAGTGATCAATTAATGGTGATTAAATATTTCTCTAGAATGAATATCTTCAATTAACTTGAAACTATCAAGGCTAATCTTGGTATTGACACCTACATTATGTTCCATTTTTTCCAAAAGTAAATTGAATTCAACATATATATAGAAATGGAAGATTGTTATTTTTAGATGAGCTAAATTAAATCTTGTGATAGTATTCTGGTGCGGAGAGGTGGTGTCTGGTGGAGTGTTCTGGCCGTAGCGGGTGCTGTCGACGGAGAGGAGCGGTGAGACGTGCGGCTGCTGGGCGGACATCGGATGTAGATGGCTCAGCAGGCCGGTGGAGCACAGGTGTAGACGTCCCAGGTGCCGGGTGGAAGTCGGATGTTGGTTCCCCGGCAGGTCGACAGTTTGACGGAGAGCGTAGCACAGACTGCAGATGGAAGAATGTTGCACGGCGAGCATGAACCACCGCAAGAACGAATGCTTTTGAAGGGGGGACGAGTGTGGTGTGTGCTATTTATGTAGACATAAGTAGTATATGACGTGAGCACTGAACAGAATGTCTGGCGACAGAGAGATAAGAAGATCGAACAATAAGAATGAAGACAGAAGGCAATTTGTTTGAAAATGCAAGAACAAGGGGATTCTGAGTGATTTGAGACAATTGATGAACAATTTGCAAATTAACGATTCAATATATGGTTGTTTGATTTTACTAACTAGTTCTGTAATTTGTTGTTGAATACATTGGATTGTCCCCACTAGTGTTTTATTCACTACAGTATGACTATATAACGAAATACCATAAAACAATCATCTCAGAATATACAACTTATTTTATTAAATGAATAGATAATCAACTTTCCTTTCGATATTTCATGTTTCTCATCTCTTCTTAACAATTTACATGTAACCGCGTGTTCTGTCCTATTTGGAACTCGTCAAATGGATGTACCTGCATCCCAGAGTTAATGTTCACTCCGGGACTCGAACCCAGTACCGTTCTCTTCAAATGCCATCACGTTCTCCCAAATAGGACGAAACGCTCATCAAACTGGAATTCATTGCTAGCCACTATTCATCATTGCTTAAAATGTATGTGACCTAAGGTTATATCAAGGTAATCCTTGCAGGATTCACATATACATTCTTAAATAACAATGAGAAGATACAAAACTGTCAGGTATTTATAGTTTTTTTTAGTGAAAACAAAATCATCATTATAATCTTCCAATCCGCATATAGAAAATTATTAACATTTATCCAATAGGAAAGTTCCACGTAAGGATTCTAGAATATTCTTTCAAAAGATGATTGGATAGAATATATTCGACTCTTTCTAAGCTTCTTAAAACATTCTCGAGTTCATTTATGAACTGTCCTCATAATATTAAACTGTATATTGTCTAACATAACTAGTAAATATTTATATATCATAGATGCTCACTGTTAAAGAGTCCTATACTATGATGAAATGACCATCTAGTATATTCAGGTCTAACGTTAATAAATTCATGATCTTAATCAATAATTTAATGATCTCAAAAAAAACAACCCTATACTGATTGTTACTATTGAATTGGAACAAACAATGTTGATTACTATTAAGTGATTTTGAATTGTTTTTATAAGTTGAAACCGATCAAGTTTGTATCGATTTATTGATTTTAATATAGAGTTCTAATAATAATAATTATTATTATTATTATTATCAGAAGGGGTTTTGTGGAGATTGTAGTAATTTCATTGATTAAGATCATGAGTCAGTAGAAGCTAGACCACCATGGAAAACCTGGAAGCATTGGACGGCCGTTTCGTTCTATTATGGGACTCCTCAACAGTGCGCATCCACGAAATCGCCTCCTGTGAGATTCGGACCAAGGACCTACTGGTTTCGCGCGCAAGTACCTAACCACTAGACCACTGAGTTGGCCGGCATCCAACGGAGTTAATGTCTAACTTCAACTAATCCACCAAATTGAGCGACACATCCACCATTGTCTTCAGTGAGTTTCTATCCCACAACAGACCTGGTTTGAACTCCACTGGTCACTACTTCTCACTAGAACTCCAGGATATACCTCTTGAAGCCAGTCACTAATGAGCATTAACACCATTGGATGCCGGCTTAGTGGTCTAGTGGTTGAGTGCTCGCGCGCGAAGCCAGTAGGTCCTGGGTTCGAATCTCGCAGGGGGCGAGGTCGTGGATGCGCACTGCTGAAGAGTCCCATAATAGGATGAAACGGCCGTCCAGTGCTTCCAGGTTTTCCATGGTGGTCTAGCTTCAACTGACTCATGATCTTAATCAATGAAATTATTGTTATTATTATTATTATTGATTTAATTAAATTATATAGGTCACAATGTATCACATTTATCAGTACATGGTTGTGGAGATTGTTGAGTTTTTAATTGAGATTATGAATTGTAGATTGGTTGAAGTTAGACATTAATACTATAAAATGCTGGCTCAGTGATCTAAAGGTTAAGCGTTCACTTTTGAGACAGAATATTCAGGGTTCGAATCCCCTGTGTGGGGTCGTGGACGAAATAGCAGTCTAGTGATTTCAGTCTTACAATGGTGGTATAAAGTTGGTTTGTTCATGATCTTAATCAGAAACTTCATATATGTTGTTAGATTTCATGCTATTGAATTCGATGTATTTACATTTTGTAGTTTATCTCTATTCGATCTGATAGAAAGGTTTTTGGCATGTATTATTTCCATGGGTATTTTTAAAACGATAATACTAAACTACTGATAGAAACTACTATTTAAGCATTCAATTATCTTTGTGTGTTTACCTCATTTTAAGTATTGTGATTATGACATTTTTAAAAAGGAAACTATTTATAACTTTAAATTCACTTAGTGTTGTTTTAATTGTACCTTCTCATTGTTATCTACGACTGCAATTAATCAGTCTCTTATTGGCATATATGCATCCTGTACGGATTGCCTCGATATAGCCAAACTTTTTAAACCACCTTTACAAGGTGGTAGCTATCAGGATTCAGTGGCTATGTTGACAACCTGGTGGCGTTTGAAGCGATCGGTAATGGGTTCAATTCCCAAAGTAAACATCAACTCTGAGGTACATGTATATCCAGCTGACGTGTCCTAACTAGGACGATAAGCGTGCTATGGATTCAACTACTATCCATTATCCATAACCGTTTTTCTTCGTTTTATTAGTTATGCTAACAGGGAGTAAGTTTATAATGCACTTGTATTACTGAAGTAAATTGTCTACTTAAAAATTAAGGTTATTGAAATGAAACACAACATAATTTATAAAACGGTGAGACTAAAATTTATGGAAGAACCAATAAAATTTAAGCGCGAAATTTATCCACTCATTTGGTTATATATTATTTCGACACCACAGCTAATTCCAGTTCGTGATTAAGACACTAAATCTAGTCGTTAGCTTTAATCATCAGCTGTAACTCATAATCCTTAATCTTCACAGTGCTTTATAACACTTATTTAGTTCTAGTTCGTAGATGGACATTTTTACGGTCATTTTAACGTTGCTCAAAGGTCATTCATTCATTGAAATTACATCGAGTTATTGAAAGCAACAACGTACTAGATAGACATGAAAACCTAAAATGTTCAGGATACAAGATATACATTATATCGTTCTTCTGATACATTATAATTCAAATTTGTCAAAGTGATCCCACAGTTATTCATGATCCGAGAAGTTAGTCAAGTGAAATTTATCGATCATTAGATTCACAGTTATATAATATAATATCCCTTTATGGGTCAAGATTTTTCAGGAGAACCGTACACCATTCAAACTTTCACGTGACAACCCAAATAGTACAGCTCATTCTCGTTTAACAGGAGAGCTAGACAACGTTTAGGCTTAATCAGAGCAGTACGGCTTAATCTCACTTGCAGGAGAGACAGATACCGTCCAGGCTTAAATTTGTAACTCGAGAAGTACAGCTCATTCCTGTGGTGCAACCACATAGGTAACAAGCACCCTGATGGGCCATATTTACTATTCATATATACATTCACATAATATGTATCATTATTCCAATCATTATATTCCTCCCTCTCCCCCCACCTAAAAAAAATAATCTTCAAAGCAATTTATATCAAATGAAACCTTTGAATATAGAAAATCAAGATTATCCATTATACACAAATTCAAATATGTGGACTAGTCAAGATAATGATAATTATCTAATAACATCCAATCATGAAAAACATCTATTACCAACATATGAATATTGTGAGAAATTATCAAATCAATGGAGAACTAACACTTCATATTCATTAAGTAAGTAAAAGTATTGTAAATAAGAAATCTGATCTAAGTTTTCATAAGAAACTAATAGTATAAACATTGTACACTTTAGTCTTCAAGAGGAATTGATGCTATCAGTGAGCTTAGAATCTGCCTATGATAGACTTTAATTTATGAATGAGCCAATCAGGAGCGTTTGAAGGATTTCAAGGTCAGGGCGCCAACTTCAGTGCTTAATGCTTACGTATGGTCGATTCACATGGATTTTTGTACAAAACGTGATAATTAAGAGGCTATAAAAAAATAAAACGGCGAAACTATAATTTGTGTAAGATAACAGGTCTCGGATTTTGGCGTGAATGCCTTTCATCCATTTGGCTAAATAGATTTCTGGTATTATAGTTGATGTCAGTTCGTGATGGAAACCCTATATATAATTCTTAACTAAGGCAACTTATGACAATTATTGCGAACTGGATAATAAAATCAACAGTGACACTGGCTGCAGCCAGGAACTACAATATATACGGATGATTGGAGAGTGTACAGACTCCTACACAGACTTGGTTATGTACATCGTGTCGTTATCCACAAGTGGAATTTTGTGTACTCAACAATCGGAGTGTACGCAAGCAATATTGAAGCGATCTGGTCGAAGTAGAAAGAGTTTTTGAGACTTTCTCATGACTCCAGAAGCCGACTATTATGGCACCATATGGATGATTTCATCTACTGCATGCATTACGATTTCAGGACCTCTGAACCTCTTTCTAACCTTGTTAAGTTTTTGAACCCCTTATAAGAACTGTATCCAATTTCTTTCTTTGGTTTTATATAATATATTTTTACTCTATACTTACTGTTTGCTGATTGGCTAACATTTATCAAGGTCACTTAAGATCCGTTGAAAGGTAGTCCATAAATTAGAGTCCCACTGTAATGTATTTAGATTGATTAATCCTTAAGTAGTTATTAACATCAGGTTTGTTTAGTTCACGTTATTCTAGTTAATATAAATATTTGAGTTCTTCCTGGAGTAATTTGAATTTGTAAAAGCTCATCAGATAACATTAGTCCTCTCAAAATTCACGGTACGCCTCTCTGATGTGTACGAACTAGCACAAAACCTAGGTCTAGGGTATCCCTCTCTAACCACATTATATTTAAAAAAATAGTGAACACAACGTTGAGTCACTTACATCAGTGGCCAAACGGTAACTTAACCGACAGAATTCGATCAACATTGAAGAATAGACAAAAATTACACGAATCATCACTTAATAATGAATGCGAAATACTCGTCATATTAGACTAAACTACTTAAAATGTCACTACTCTAAAGTTTACAAAAGGTCGGATATAGACTATTATTATTATTTTCTCTGAAATAATCACAACTTTGATCTGGTGTAGTATATTTTCTTACGTCACATTTTTGTTATACATGACAAACCGATTAACATCCAACCAAATACCCTGGTACGGCCGAGGTAGGAGAGAGTCCGCTCTCACATGACCATATGCCTACAACTATTGCTAGGGAAGTCCTACTCGCTAAATTCTCGCCGCATTATTATTTTTTACGAATTTCAGACGACGAAAAACGAATCTCCTGCTCTTTTACCGGGTTGGTGGACACAGAGGGTCCACCTAGGGGAGTTGGAAAACACTGATTCCAAATCAATGATGCACATGGACTTGAGGATTCTGAAGGAAAAAAACGGCGTATGAGTCAACTGTTGGCCACCGGCTACCATGGGACTGTATCTCCTTACATTGCTTCACTGCCTTGTGGATGAGATCTTTAGGTCAGAGGCCCCGGGTGTGGTCCTTTAAGAAAACCACCTACTACGGTCTAGGCACTCAGGCAGTATCACAGCCCATTCAAAAATCAAGTGACTTGCGTGGCGCATGTGTATTCGATTCCCTTTTCGTACTAATATTTAGGTGCTCAAACAAATAAATGAGTTTTACTGATATTCGAATTAACGATTTCAATGTAAATCTATTTCTCAATGAAGTTTATTTCAACTGACTTTCTTTTTAAAATTCTTAGATCCCCATTCGTATAAACAATCAAAATATAGTGTGAATAATAGAATGTATAAAAGTATGAATGATATTCATTCACATGTTAATAAAGAACAGTCTAAAATGGAGTACAATGCTAATAAAAAGTAAGTTTCTTGATTATAAATTCATTGAAGTCTACAACTTAAAGTATAAGAATAATGAAATTTGGTGAAAAAAAGTCTTTTTCTCACATAGTTTGAATGAATAATTGTCAACAGTGGTGTATGGTTCTCGCGGAAACGGGACTGAGCTGTACTGTTTGGGTTGCCAAATAAATTTCTGGATGGGCCAAACTCGAAGCCTTCGACATAAAGGTCCAATCCAGCAGGCAGTGAAGCAGAGTCAAGAGATGCAGTCCCATGTTAGCCGGGTCATACGCCAATTGTTCTTTCACTATCCTGGAGCCAATGTGAACCATTGGTTTGGAATTACGGTTATCCAAATCCTCTATATCCACCAACCCGTTTAAAGAGCTGGACATTCGCTTTTCATCCCCTAAATTTCGTAATCAACAGTACTGCTACAAGAAGGCAGTGAGTAGGACTTCCCTGGCCGTTACTGTATACCCGTGGCTATCTGAGAGCGATTCCAGAGGGAGAGCAGACTTTCCCCATTCTCGACCGTTGCTAGTATTTCCCACTTGAACTTAAGGACGTCTATGTTAAAGCTAAATATTAGTGAGCAAATAATTACCATTATTACTACATTGGTTGATTCGATTGTTGTTGTCAATTTGTAGTGTAAAACAATCTTTAAATTATATCGGCGAAATTCAGTTTAATTGATTCTAGGATGGATTATGGATAACATTCAAGACATTTTACTGATTAACTCTCATTTCTTTTATAAGACTTCAACATACTCCGTCTTGGACTGTAATTTCTAGTTGTCACCAAGTGTTATTTATGCCCTCAGTGTCTGCCTCCCATTCGTGGAGTCATATATTTTTTTAGCTTCTCTCTTGAAAACTGAGAGTTGGAACTTGCTTTTCCATGCAAATTGTGTTCTATCCACCTCCAGGATGTTTTCCTAGTTTTCTCCTCAAATGTAAGCTAGTTTGTTCCTTGTGATAGTAGGTTATTGTTGATAGTCTTTGGTCAATTGATTTGGAGGATCTTACGTAGACCGCTATTTATGAATACCTGTACATATCTGATTACGGTTGTGGTAAATCTCAAAATTTCATCTCTGTACATTTTGTTTACTTGCTATGTGTTATAATTCTCTATTTTATCACAACTCAGCTATTCTTATATGGCTTAATATTCTTGGACACCACTTTAGTTGACAAGTCCCCAAATCATAACACGGTTGAACAGTAATGAAATCCTATTCCAAATAATATGGGTAGATCAAAGTAAGAAGCACAATAAGAAAAAAAACGTTAGTATATTTATAGTCTTTATATGAGAAAGTTCTAGAATCTCCTTCGAGTATCGATTAGCGCTGATTGGATAAAACAAATAGCCAATCAGCGTACACCAATACAATCGTCCACAGAATGTGCTTTATTTAATCCAATCTATTTCCCGCTAATACATGAGATTATATTACGTAATACTAAATACTGTTATGTAATACTATTATGTAATAATATATAATGTAATACTTTTGTAATATTTTTTATTGATATACAGTCAAGAGAAGCAAAGTATTTCAACACAGAAAAAATCAAAATACTCAACAACAACAACATCATCATCATATAATGAACGAATTAAAAATGATTCACATGTTATCAAGAAAACTATTGATCATTCTAAAGAGTGCAATAAGCCAATAGGAATAGAAGAACAAATTCTTGAATATATTACATCTAAAAATTGGGAAGAACAAATTAAAGCTACAGATATGATAGAAAATTTACTAGAAACAATGAATGTTAAACCATTAGAGATATTATTCAGTGATTCAAAAAATATAAATAAGCTTGTTTGTGGAATTGAACAAACTGTTAAATGTTTACGTTCACAAGTAAGCAATGATTATGTTGTGCATAGATGATAAAAAAAAATTGCAATAGAACGATGATGTAGTGAAACTTCATCAGTTGAGATATGTATTAAGTATGCCCAACCACCAATTGACCTGACGAACGATTATTTATGGTGTAGGTTGTAAGAAAGCTAGGAGCGGTTAGACCAAAACATGGTACATATTCATGAAGTCATTGACAAGTGGACTGAGTCATGTTGGTAGATGTAGACTACCTGGTTGGGATCCATGAGATGATGGCAACAGATGTTTAGAGGCTTTGAATGACATGGTTCAAAATCGTTTGCAAATGCGCATGTGCATCCACTCTTTGTGTTCTCCCAAATTCTAATCTTCTACATTCTTAATATCAGTTATTTTTTCTCTTTCCAAATTTATTTTATTGGGATATACACCTTGAATAACATCTTCAAACCCTAATGTTTCCGATTACTGCTTATACTTCTACAACCTCTACCACTATGGGATTGGAATCGACAATTGTATCTGTGTGGTATGGCAACTCAAACTGATGTACGTAGGAAGTTCTACGTTGTTGCTGACTGAGGACTTGATAATGTTAAGAGTTATCGGCGAGACAATAATTTATGGACGATTTAACCAGATATACGATAACATCTCTCGGATTTTAGCGCGAAATTCGCTCATTCATTTGCAATTTGAATGCTACACTCGGTTCCTAAGCTATTCCTGTAACCCACAAGCTAGAACTATACAGTGACCTGAACACAAGACAGAAGGTGCAAAGTATGCGAAAAGTACCTTACTCCAAGCTTCATGTTAATACAGAAAATATAGGGTTTTTATAATATCCTAAATGTCCTTGGGTTGCTCGAAAATTCTGGAATGCTACTAAACATAGTAGCCGTACAACAACCAGCCAATTAGAACCTCTACATATAACGTTTCACATCCTTGATGTTTTCTGGCTAAACTCCAAGTGAACGCTGATTGGATGAAATGCTTCTTATTGTTTTCTGATCCTTGCGTGTCTTTTGCGAGAATTTTTCTGGATCATTCCAACATGATTAACTGTGAATCATCTTCAAATTGCTTTATAACCTTGAATTAACCCTAGTAAGTCAGTAGACACTCTTAAGGTCATTTTGGTGTAGCTCAAAGGTTGTTCATGAATTGTAGTTTTACCGTGTTGCCCAAAAAATGTTGCTATCTGTTCAGCGACTGAAACAAAATTCGAGTATCATAATAATCAATAAATGCCCAAAAGTTCATAGACAAGGGTAAGTGGGGAGAATTGGTTTTGATTAGGGATTCCTACTCATTGCCTTTACATGTCAGGAACAACGCTTCAATTAGATTAGTGTTTAAATAGGGTTTGCTCAGGGTTTTAAAAAAACCCTTATATTGTATGGGCGTCAAGCTGAAAGGGGAACAGCTACATTTATTTACAATAATCTCAACCGTAAACTTACTCATTACTTCATCCTTATTGTTGATAGAGCTAATTCTACCCATCCTCAGCCACACTTTATATTATCCCCAATTTTTAATTTAGTCAACCTCGCGTGCGAAACCAATAGGTCCTGGGTTCGGATTTCGCAGAGGGCGATGTCGTGGATGCGCACTGCTGAGGAGTCCCATAATAGGACGAAACGGCTGTCCAGTGCTTCCAGGTTTTCCATGGTAGTCTAGCCTCAAATGACTCGTGATCTTAACCATTGAAATCAATCAACCTTTGTGATTTTCACATAAAAATGCTGTGACTAATACGTATGTGACTAGGTTGTTTGAAATATACAGGGTAAAAATATATTACATCTTTCAGATCAATTCTATCTTCTTACAGTACTAGCAAAAAGGAAGATTTTTTTGGATAATAAATATCACTAGATAAACAAAAGGAAGATTCAAACTAATCATCTGTTTTACCAATCATATATGCAAGAAGATTCACCTAATGATGTCATCACCTTATACAATGAGAATATTTCGTGATTAAATTCATCCTATTTTATATGGATCACCAGATATGATATTCACCTAAATTCCGTAACACGTGTCCCAGTCATCTCAACTGATGAAGTTTCATTATTTCATGAATTGACTTGCCATCCTTATCTAGTACCCGTTTCCTAACAACTGCATTACTTACTCGATGGTCCCAGGATATACGAGCAATGTTTCAAAGACACCTATAATCGAATACTAGTAACCTACGAATATCCACTACTCTTACCGGCCATGTTTCACTGCCATAAAGTAGGACGGAACGAACTGCTGCGCAGTAAACACGTCCTTTGGTTGATAGACGGATATTCATGTTCAATGAGAACCGATTACGTTAACAAGTTTTTCATTAGTTCTATGTATTTCATTTCACACTAGAAATATGCTATTTAAATAGTCAATATTTTAATAGTCGAATTCATTAGTCAATTGAAGTTAGACCACCAATGAAAACTTGGAAGCACTGAATGACCATTTCGTCCCAGTGCGCATCCACGATCCTGCCTTTCGAGATTCGAACCCAGAACCTACCGATAACCGACAGTGTTAATGTCTAGAAGTTGTAGATGATGAATAGGTAAATGAAATACATGTCTTTATCACCTAATTTGGTAAAGATTTATAATTTAGTCAAGAAACTCTTACCTAGGACTTCAAGCCTCACTACAGAGCTATTAGGTGATCCGTGATAACCACTAAACGCAAGTAATTCTTTGAAAACACCTTTGATCAACTACTTGCAATGTATTCACGCATTTTAAATATTAAAAAAGGGGAATTTATGATAATTACCAACATTTTACAAAAACATTTATTTTAAACAAACCACTGAGGCTATAAAAACTAAATTTTAATAGGTGAGATCATGAGTCAATTGAAGCTAGATCACCATGGAAAACCTGGAAGAACTGGAAGGCCGTTTCGTCCCATTGTAGGACTCCTCAGCAGTGCGCATGCATGTTCCCATCTCGCGAAATTCGAACATAAGACCCTCGATTCCGCAGGCGAACGCTTAACCTGTAGACCACTGAGCTGGCCGTCATCCAACGATGTTAATGTCTAACTTCAACTAATCCACCAAATTGAGCGACACATCCACCATTGTCTTCAGTGAGTTACTATCTCACAACAGACTCAGTTGAACTCTTGGAGACCATCACTAGTGAGCATATAATGATTATAATCAGAGAAAGGTTTTTGTGGATATTATGGTAATTTCAATAGTTAAGATCATGAGTCAATTGAAACTATGGAAAACCTGGAAGCACTGGCCGACCGTTCCATTCTAATATGAGACTCCTTAGCAGTACACATTCACGATCCCATCTCTCAAGATTCAAAACTACTGGTCTCATGCGTGAACGCTTAAACTCTTAACCATTACGCCAGTAACCAATAGTGTTAATGTTTAACTTCAACCAATCCATAAAGTTGCTCCATTGTCCAGCATTGTCATCAGCCAATTATTATCTCAAAACTTTTTATTTATTAGTATATTATTTTAACACATAAGTATAGGTACAGGGAGGCACCAAATACATATGCGCCACACAAATCTCAATTGATTTGTGTGAGGGCTGTGATACTGCCCGGGTGCCCAAACCGAATCAGGTGGTTTTCTTAAGGGACCACACCCCGAGCCTTTGACCTGGACGTCTGATCCACAAGGCAGTGGAGCATCGTGAGGAGATGCAGTCCCATGGTAGCCGGTGACCAACGATTGGTTCATACGCCATTTGTTCCTTCAGGCAGGATACTGGAGCCAGCCCATGTGCACCATTGGTTTGGGGTCCGGTTAAAGCGCCAGACATTCGCTTTTTGTCCTCTCATTTTTGTAAACAACACCCCCGCCACGAGAAGGCAGTGAGTAGGACTTCCCTGGCAGGGGCTATATACGCATGGCAATGTGAGAGTATTTCGAGAGGGAGATCGGACTCTCCCCACTCTCGGCCGTACCAGGGCATCTCAAAACAGACACAGTTGAACTACACTGATCACGGCTTCACACTAGATCTCTAAGAAATACCTCTTAGAGATCATCACTAGAAAAGTAATTTTTAATCATTAACATTATAAGTCACTATTTCTTGTTTTTCTTTTTTTTTTTTCTTCTTTCATTTAGGTATCATTAAAAGGTTTAAAAACCATTGAACAATTATGTCATTATTTAAATGCAATTCATCAAGGTCATTTATTGAATCCATATGCAGAACCATTAATTACAACATTATTAAGTCGTATAAGTGAAGATTCTAGTACAAAATTTATACAAAAACAATCTTATCAATCATTAGAAATATTAATATCATGTATAGATAATATGATTACTATACATATATTATGTACAATATTATGGGAGAAATTTATACAGAGTAATATAAAACGGAATACAATTAGTCAATTATTAAATTATATATTATGTAATCAATTGAATAATAGTAAAAAAAATATGTTATTATTTCAAAGATTAGGATTATATGGATTAAATCAATTAATGAAAGTGGTAAAACAATTAATCAATGATAAAGTATCAAGTACAAGGTTAGTTTATAAAAAAATTTGTATCACTATGGTAACATTCATGTTATTTTGTGTGTGTGTGTGATTGTAGGTGTAACCTGGAGCTTGGGTTCGAATCTCGCGAGGTGGGATCGTGGATGTGTACTGCTGAAGAGTCCCACAACGGGACGAAACGGCTATCCAGTGCTTTTAGGTTTTCAATGATGATCTGACATCAATCTCTACAAACCTTAAACTGATAGTTACCATGTGCTTACTAATGACTAAATTCATGAGGGGATTCTCAGAGTTCTTGTGAGAAGCCGTGACCAGTGAAGCTAATTTGTGTCGGGTTGAGACAGGTATCTACCTTAGTACAATGGAAGATGGTCGCACAATTTTGTGGATCGGTTGATGTTAGACATTAACACAGTTGGATGCCGGTCAACTTAATGGTTCGCGCACAAGACTGAAGGCTCTGGGTTCGAATCCTACTCGCGGGATCGTGGATGCCCATTGCTGAAAAGTCTCACAATGAGACGAAACGGCCGTCCACTGTGTTTCCAAGTTTTCAATGATGGTCTAACATCAGTTGGTTTAAGATTTGGGAAATCATAAGAAGGAATTATCAAAGAATTTCAAGAGAATGTAAATGAAAATCTAATAATGTTAAAACGTGTGATCCGCCTATTAGAGAGCAGCCTATTATCGATCGAAACAGTGACGCATAAAACATGAGCGAGCAGCCTAGAGATCTGATTGGTCCTGCTTCCCTGTCTAGCCCAACCAATTGAGTCCAGAACACATGTCTCAGCCTCGGAGATATGAATCATTATATTTCAAACATACTCTGTTTATATAGCAATCAAACAGACTACATCGTACCATAAAATAGAAAATAACATTTGTACAAGATTTAACCTTCAGGAAATGACACAAATAAATATTGACCAATAGGGAAATAACACGTTGGAAGAATGTTGACCAATGAGGCAATGACGCTATTTCTCATTCAGGAATAGTACTAGATAATTTCTGGGGTATTTTCTGAATACTCCAACAAATAAGTTATCACCTTTTATTTCATCTTAATGAGATGTTCCATATTCTACTAAAACTGTCATTATCCTTTCCTAGAGTTCGCTGCTGGCTTTTATGTCGGATCTATTTGTAAAACATGTTGTACAATGTATGAAACATTTTCATTTGAAATAAGAAAGATATAGTTGATAGAATACACTTAAAGTACGAATTCCTAGGAAGTCAATCGATATTTTAAATAGAATGCGTCAAGGAAACTGATCAAACAGCTAAGAATGTTGCATTTTCTTATACATTTCTAAAAGATTGATTACCTGAGACATTAATCTTTTTTGCTGATAGTATTTTGCATCATCTGAAATAGCTTGTACAAGTACTACACAAAGCTAATACTCCTGTATTATTTTGACTATATAGTTTACAAATTATTAATGTTAGCTATATTAGATTATGTACTTAAGAAATGTACATGTTTAGTTCTACATAATCCTGTGACAATGGTTTGATAAGTTCATTAAACAACCTGTACATGAACCTCAAAAAGCTTATGTATATCTGAGGAGCTATTCAAGTAATCAAGTGACAGATTCATAGTAACTATATTACTTATCATATTAACAGTTTAGAAAATTCAAACTGTTTATGCAAAGTAGAATATTGAAAAAAGATAAGATGTCGATAAAGCAATATACTTTAGTACATGGTACGTCCGAGAGCGGGGAGAGTCCGCTCTCCCTCTCAAAATGCTCTCACATGGACACGCGTTTACAGCCTCTGCCACAGAAGTCCTACTCACTGCCTTCTCGTGGCATTACTGTTTTTTACGAAATTGAGAGGACGAAAAGCGAATTTCCGGCGCTTTAACCGGATCTCAAATCATTGGTGCACATGGGCTCCAGTATCCTGAGGGTACAAATGGCGTATGAACCAATCGTTGGCGACCGGCTACCATGAGACTGCATCTCCTTACGATGCTCCACTGCCTTGTGGATCAGACCTTCGGGTCGAAGGCCCCGGGTGTGGCCCCCTAAAAAAACCAGCTGCTTCGGTTTGGGCACCCGGGCAGTATCACAGCCCTCACAAACATCCAATGAGATCTGTGTGGCGCATATGTATTTGGTGTCTCTTTGTACCAATATCTATGTGTTAAAATAATAATTACGTGAGGGTTGTAATACTATTGTAGTGAATAAAACACCAGTGAGGACAATCCAATGTACTTAACAACCAATTACAGAACTAGTTAGTAAAATCAAACAACCATATATTGAATCGTTAATTTGCAAATTGTTCATCAATTGTCTCAAATCACTCAGAATCCCCTTGTTCTTGCATTTTCATACAAATTGCCTTCTGTCTTCATTCTTATTGTTCGATCTTCTTATCTCTCTGTCGCCAGACATTCTGTTCAGTGCTCACGTCATATACTACTTATGTCTACATAAGTAGCACACACCACACTATCACCCCAGTACCAAAATTGAAGTAGGTAGCCTACAATCTTTAGCATAAAAGTCTAATTCACAACACAGTGAAGGAATATTAGAAGACATAGCATCATGCTAGCCGGTGGTCAAAATAGGCTTATATATGCCATTTCCTCTGAATTCTGGAATATATGTGCGCAACCCTAGTAAAACGTATCATACCTAACCCCAGACATTTACAATTAGCTTAATTTTCCGGAAAAACTATTGTCAAGTGAAGACAATAAGGAGGACTTGCATAAAGTCACCATAAAAAATGCGCGATCGTAAAACAGCAATTCAAAATAGAGTAAATTAATGAAATAAATGTATCACAGTATCATATATATATACCACTTGATTCCAACTCATTAATTACTAGATAGATTGATGCCTAATAGTAAACCCGCCAATTTTTAGTTTATTTCAGAACTCGCCCTCCAAATGCCCTGGTACGGCCGAGGGTGGGGAGGATCAGTTCTCTTTTTCGAAATGCTCTCACATGGACACGCATATGCAGCCACTGTCAGGGCCCTCGTACTCACTGCCTTCTCACGGCATTACTGTTGTCTATGAAACTGAGAGGATGAAAAGCGAATGTCCGGCGCTTTAACCGGGATGGTGGATATAGAGGATTCATCTAGGGGAGTTGGATAACACTGATTCAAAACCAATGGTGCATATAGGCTCCAAGATCACTGACTATCATGTGACTGCATCTCCCCATGTTGCTCCACTATCTTATGGATCAGATCTTTAACTCAAAGTCTCTGGGTGTGACCCTCTAAGTTAACCACCTGTTTTAGTATAGGGCACCCGAGCAGTATCACAGTCTACACACACACACACACACAAATCAAGTGACTTGTCTAGTTCATTTGAATTCAGTGCTCATTTGTATCAATATTTATGTGTTCAAATAAATCATAACTGTATATTTTATTCATTTGAATATAATGTTTTCAAATATATATATATATACATATTTTGTTTTAATCCATTATTTCATATACATAAAGGTTAAATGGACGTAGAATTCTTGAACAAATCAACTTGTTTACAGATATCAATAGAGTATATAAACAAGATACTATTAATGATAATTCATTAGAATTGGAATACATCAAGTCCAAAAACTTAAAATTTCGGAGATGATTACAATAGTTATTCTAATACATGATGTTCATAACATTTTATTGTGTTATAAATTTCTAATTCTATGACCTGTTATCAAACAATAGAAATATAATCAATTTATATGATTGATATAATATAATGTAAACTTATGCTATGAATTTGTTCAGTGATGTTTTCTTGAAATAGTCTTATTAGAGTTTTACAAAATGAAACGTTCGTGTTTTGTGGGTACAATTGTTTGATTATATCTACATCTCCAGTGGTTATGATACAACTGTAGATGAATATGAAATGGACTGATTTGTTATATTTATTAAGTATGATAGATATTCATATACCTTTCATTTCTTAAGGATGTTATGAATTAAAGAATCCAAAATTAGTCTATTATGTTAGTGCCCCCAAATGCCCTGGTACGGCTGAGAGTGGGGAGAGTCCGCTCTCCCTCTCCAAATGCTCTCACATGGCCATGCGTATATAGCCTCTGCCAGGGAATTCCTACTCACTGGCTTCACGTGGCGGGGGTGTTGTTTACGAAAATGAGAGGACGAAAAGCGAATTTCTGGCGCTTTAACCGGATCCCAAATCAATGGTGCACATGGGCTCCAGTATCCTGAAGGATCAAATGGAGTATGAACCAATCGTTGGTGACCATCTACCATGGGACTGCATCTCCTCACGATGTTCCATTGCCTTGCGGGTTAGACGTTCAGGTCGAAGGCTCGGGGTGTGGCCCCCTAAAAAAACCAGCTGCTTCGGTTTGGGCACCCGGTCAGTATCACAGCCCTCACAAACATCCAATGAGTTCTGTGTGGCGCATATGTATTTGGTGCCTCATTGTACCGGTATCTATGTGTTATAATAAATAATCATATCAGAGTTGATGTCCACTCCGAGACTTGAACCCAGAACCTTTCGACCCAGATACCAATGAGTTATTTAATTAACTACTAACTGAGTTCACAGAGCCAATTATTGATGAAACGGGTATTAACTGTAATTTAATTTTTAATTATTACGATCATCCAGTTGTCGAATATTTTGACTTAAGTTTGATCAGTCTTAATTGTTATATGTGCATTCTGTGCAAATTGATTTAATATAGCCATTATGTTACAAGTTTGTATAGCTACCCACATTCCATCTATTCCATAGTGGCTAATTTTGTGGCGATCTGTACATAATGTATATATGTCCATTAGGACTGATCAAATTTCAGTCAAAATATTCGACGACGGGATAATCAAAACCATTACAAAATTAAACTAAGCTGTAAATTTAATTGAGTAAATCTGAAGACTTATAGAATACATTATCTATAGATATTTTACCTTATCTGTCAGTCAGTAACAATGTAGAAATTTGAACGTATTTACATCAGTTACAATACCACATTAGCACACAGATACAATTGTCGATTCAAATGCCGTAGTGGTAGAGGTAGTAAAAGTATAAGCAGTAATCGGAAAGATTAGGATTTGAAGATGTTATTGTAGGAGTATAATCCAGTGAAATAAATTTGGAAAGAGAAAAAAAAAGGGACATATAGAATTCAGAAGATTAGAATTTGGGAGAACACAAAATGTGGATGCACCTGCATTATTGCAAATGATTTTCAGCCATGTCATTCTAGGTCTCTAACCATCAGTTGCTATCGTTATGCGGATCCTAACCAGGTAGTCCACATCTACTAACATGACTCAGTGACTTCATGGATATGTACCATGTTTTGGCCTGGTCGCTGCTACCTTTCTTCCAACCTACTCTTATATCATAAAAATGTTATCTTATCTTTATAGTGAGAAAAGTTATCAATACAGTTTTTATTCATATCAATATTGAACAAAAACAATAAAATTTAAAGCAATACGAAAAAGATTTATACACTATTTAGAGTAATGTTTCAACAGTAAATGATAGAGCGTCTACATGCACACACACACACACACAAAAGATCCCGACTGTTTTTAACAGTTTACTGCTTTGACTGAAAACAAGTGGTGTGCTGAGTATAGCTTTCTTTCATGAGATTGTGGTTAATTGAAACAACCGCTAGAAACAATAGAGGTATATGAAACAAAGAACTAAATATTCAGTGAGAAAAGTAAGAGATTGCTTAACTTTAAATAGCTTTTGAAACAATTTACAGTTTGCGTATGAAGAGTAATTTTATCCAGAAAAAATGTAAAACCAAGTAAACCTACGTAATGTACACATAAAGATGTCCATTGAATTTATATGATATATGTACTAATAACTGATAATTTTCATAGGTGACAGTCTGTTCATATGTAGTACTTGCTGGAATTCTATCATATTGATTTTTTGTTCATGAATTCACTTCAGATGACTGATTTTGACGTCCACGTTTTACAGATAAATTGTGTAAGCGGGCCAAATTTACTTCGACTGTAGTTGTTTGATTTTTAAGAAATTCTAATGTTTGGTCTACATCTTGCAAGGATTGTTGAGCCGATTGTTCATTTTCAACTAGTATTTTGTCAGCTTCCTCTAGATCATATTCTAACATAACATTGGCACCTAACCATAAACCAACTCTGTCGGCTTTGGGAATATGAGCACGTGTAAATAACTGGTTAGATATTTCAAAAGTTACGTCTAAATTAGTGTTTTGTTTTTGTAGTTGTCGGACAACAGCTAGAGTTTTCTGTATATCTGGTAATTGTTGCATTAATCTTATTTTACGCTGTAATAGAGCTTGCTCAATGATTTTATATTTTTGGTATAATTCTTCAAAAGAACGTCCAGCTTCCATAAGAGTTGAAAAATTATTGGCTTTCATGTAAGCATCTACATCTTCGATGAACTCAGCCTTTGGTATTCCCTTCTGATCCATGTCATTATGTTTATCGTTTTCTTTTGAGTTGTTGTTTGTGTCGGCCATAATCAACGGAACTAAAACTATTAACATTGATAAATAATATGGTATGAGAACTCATAATCTTAGTGACAGAAAAAAAACATGACGCTAAAAACCCAAATCACAAATATTTTTTACCATTACTAAAATTGGCCCATCTTGCATCTTACTGTCATCTGTAAAACGTAAATATGGGAATTTAATCTCAATTAAAGGAGATAAGACCAAGTTACGATGATAAGTCATATTTTGGCCGGATATAAACCAACCAGACAAAATAAATGAGTGATTAGAGGCAATTAATAATGCGGCTGGGTTAATGAGTGCTTATTTTCTGTTATATATTTGAAAGGTTAATAAAATTGACTCACACTTCAGTACAGAATTGGTTACGTACTGAAAGTTTAATGAACGAAGTTTCTTCAAGACCTAAAAGTAGCGTTTGATAGTTTATAGAACATTTAATGTCATTTTAAGGTTTTGACACAGAGTTTTAAGCACTTGACACTGAGCCATTGAATTTAAGGTTTGAACTATTATTTACTTTAATCCATTTGTATTGTTTAGTCGAATCTTCTATTATTGTTCAGAACTCCAATTAATCAATCTCCTTTAGCATATATGTTCATCCTGTGCAGATTGATTTAAAATTTGCTTATTCTTTAGTTTGTTGAAGGTAGACGAATATTATATTTAATTCTAATCATGATTAGAATCTTCGTACATAGACCAGAACTTTTCTTGCAACTTACAGAAGTTTTTGATGACAATTAATGAAACAGGCTAATAATAACCATTTTCAAATAAGTGGCTGTGTAACTTATGCACACAGACTAAATAATTAAGACTTTGTGTAATGGTGTACTTTTAAACAATATTAAGGAAACGTTTAGTAGAAAACGGAACAGGAAAACAAAAGAAAATAGATATTTATGGGTCATAAAATAGCCAAGAACAAACCCAAATGCACAACCCATTACGACTGCCACCAGGTCTTTTTTTAACTTTGCCACAAAGTGGTTAAAAATAAACGTAGTTAAGTACTGAGAAAAGCAATCTTTCAGGAGTCAATGGAAAAAAAAAGGTCTGAAGCCTACTTACGTGAATTAGGTAATTGGGAACCTGGTAAAGTAACCCAATACCCTCAACCTCTACAGATGTAGTCTCGCGTTGGGTCAGGTTGAAAAAACGAAGGGTACTCAAACCAAGATGTGGAACCACCCTATGGATTCATTGAAAATTGGACTGAACCATATTAATATGTAGAGACCACCTAGTTGGAGTCCACGTGATTATTGTAACCAATGATTAGAAAATTTAGGCGACATGGTTCGAAATTGTTAGCAATAGAGCTGGTGCATTCACTCTTCGTTTTTTTTAGAACCTAAGTTCCGGAAGTTTCCTATACTTTTTCATATATAATATTTACTACTACTACTGATTCTGCTACTACTTGTACTGCTCTGGGACTTGCCTTGAAATAGTTTTATCTCTCCGGGCTGATATGGCATGGTAACTTAGACCGATGCATGTATCAGGTTCTATGTTTTGTGTGTGGCGCATATATATATGGTGCCCCCTTGTACCAATATTTATGTGTTCAAATTAATAAATCTACGTTTTGTATGAATGACCTAAATGATAAGCAACTGATTTTCTGTTCACGTTTGTCCGGGAAAAAACCAGGTGTTTCATTTCCCTTTACATCTGGGAAGTTTCGCTGGCCACGATTAGTTAGTAACTGAATAGATTTCGATACTAACTCGAAAAAATAATCCGTTTTTACCAACTTGTACCACCTACAGTGTAAAATGGATATCCGCGTCTACTAACCGATGATGGTATCCAGCGTAGAAGTCTGTTTTCTTTTACTATACGGGTGTGGAAAGCGGCTTTTGAAGGTAGAGGATTCTTAGAGTAATATCACAGGTATTTTCGAATCTTTAATAGCGTATAGTGGAGCGATCGAGTAAGTAATCACAAAGCTTACACATAGTACAATGTAAAGTTGGCAAATGCCCCCAAATGCCCTGGTACGGCCGAGAGTGGGGAGAGTCCCCTCTCCCTCTCCAAATGCTCTCACATGGCCACGCGTATATAGCCCCTGCCAGGGAAGTCCTACTCACTGCCTTCTCGT